AATTTCTCCCGTGTTTGATATATTTATCACACTCAAAAGCCTTTCAGAGTATCTAGGTATCATTTTGTTAGCTCTGAGAAGACTACTGTTTGCCTTGGTCAAGGAAATTACCCTTTATTAGAGATTGCAACAATTTAATAATTATGGAAGTGAAATAATCACTTGTGGATAATTTAATGCCAAATGAGCAGGGTGATCTGTGGACAGTTTTCACATGCCCCATGGATGTAGACAGAAATGTGGAGAATAAGCTTTATTGTGTACCAGTATAAGGTAACTTAGAGTGGAATGATCTAGACTATTTTGTGTTTACTAATTTGTAGTGAACAATTTCACATGGGTTTCACAACATGTGGTGAAAACTATACACTTATACTAGTAAGTAAGCACAAGTAAGCCTGGATACTCTGTCCCTGTCCAAAAAAACCAAAACCCACTGCCGTCAAGTCAGTTCCAACTGATTGTGACCCCCATTGGGTTTCCAAGGCTGTAAATCTTTATGAATTAGATTGCCTCATCTTCCTCCTGCGGAGCAGCTGGTGGGTCTGAACCTCCAACTTTTTTATTAGCAGCCAAATGCTTTACCCACTATACCATGAGAGCTCCTTGTCTGGAATTATAAACTTGAAAAAAGGCTTTAATTCTGTAGGATGGTGCTATGGAGATGAAAGAGAGATGCCAGCCTTTCCTAGGAGCAGAATCTTTGATGTGGTGAAAAAAAGCAATGTTAAATTTTTTACTATAGATTAGTAAGTAAGCCAAAGTGCTTACCTTGCTTGTTGGGTAAATTGACATTGACAAAACTAGACTCAAAGTATTCAGAAGAAGACAAAATAATGAAAGAAATGGGACAGAGTCAATGAGAAAACATAGTAGGAGTCAAAAGATATGTATCTGGGCTCTGATTTTGTCACCAACTGAACCTCTCCTTTTCTATTTCCTTATCTATAAAATTGGGATGGTGTCTTTCCTAGCTGCCTCTCAGGTTTTACAAGAATTAAATGAGACAATGTATATGCACAAAAGGTTAATCAAATACGGCTGCAAATAGAAATTGAGACAGGAAAAGTTTGAAGTCTAAAATAAGGAAGTGTATGCCTAGGACAACATGGATTCATGGTATCTGAGAATTATACAAGTAAGATGTGTATCCTAAGTTGTTGTTGTTGTTATTTGCCGTCGAGTTGGACCCGACTCATAGTGACCCCACCTTCGGTTTCCAAGGCAGTATCACTACGGATGTAGATTGCCCAGTCTTCCGTTGGAGTAGTGGCTGGTGGGTTTGAACCTCCAGCCCTCTGGTTAGCAGTCAAGTGCCTTAGGCACTATGCTACCAGAGGTCCTATCCTAAAGCTAAGGGGGCGGGGGAAGTAGGGAGAAATTATAAAATAATAAATAAAAGAATGAGCTACTGAACCTTAGGTAACAAATTAAGTAGAATTTAAATAAATGAGTAGATGATAATCTGTAATATATGTGGATGATTTAAAATGTTTAGTTTCACTCCAGCTCTTGCACACTTTGATTTTGTCACCATCTTAGAGGGTGCCTCAGGGCATCTATCAGAGACGGATGGAATATACCACTGGCATGAACTAGCCAGGATACCATTTTCTAATACCGTACTGAAGGTACTGTTGTTGTTGTTAACACTGTTGCCACTGGGGAAAGATGATGTTCTAATACCCGATTCCCACTTTCTGCTACCTTTCCTCATCTCAGTAGGTAGTAACTCTGGCCTTCCAGTTGCTCAGGTCATTCATCATTAAGAATGATCCTTTGCGCTTTTCTTCCTGTCATCCCACAGCCAGTCCTCAATAAATATGATGGCTCCATGTTCTAAGTATATTCAAAACTCCATCACTTTTCACCAACATTGCTACCATCCATTGTGGTCCAATGTTGGCAGAGCATGGCAGGCTGCTGAACAATCATGGCTACATGCAGGGTTCAAGCGTGCCATAAACTAGAGACCATTTCCAAAGCTACTGCCTGTATATGGGAAGCAGTCTACATCCCTAAAGCAGGTACTCAGCTTCTTGTAGTAGATCTCACCATGGAGTTTATTGCCAGTCTCACATGGGGAATAACTACCACTAGTCACCCAGCCAAGGAGCTCTGGTAGCATAGTGCCTAAGGCACTTGACTGCTAACCAGAAGGCTGGTGGTTCAAATCCACCAGCCACTCCTCGGAAGGAAGGTTGGGCAATCCTACTTCCGTAGTGATACTGCCTCGGACACCCAAGGAGGGGTCGCTATGAGTCGGGGCCGACTCGACGGCGAATAACAACAACAACAACAAGTCACCCAGCCACTCAACCAGGCCCAGCCAAGGTGACACACAAACTTAACCACCATAGCATACCAAAAACCAAACTCCATAGCAACCACTCCATGGGTTTCCAAGGCTGTATCACTACGGAAGTATTGCCCAACCTTCCTTCTGAGGAGTGGCTGGTGAATTTGAACCCCCAGGCTTCTGGTTAGCAGTCAAATGCCTTAGACACTATGTGACCAGCATAGTACCTTAAAACCTTTCTTTGTTCAATCAAAGTAGGGCAGATCACTTAGTAGTTCTCCTTCAGATACATGACCCACTAATAGTCCATCTTGGGTCATAGGCTTTCCAATATAATTCATACAATCTTTCAAAACATTTGCATTTATAGCACATTGAAAGTGATTCATGTTATTCAAGCACAGAAAAGAAAAGTGGTAGGAGTACATCAGATATTCAGCAGTTGGATGCTGAAAGCAAAAAAATGGGGATACCATTTCGGGAGGTTGAACATGATAAGCTAAATATTTCATTAAAATATGAGGGTCATTGGGTCACCTCCAGGAGCTCTGGTAGCCTACTACCAAAGGCATTTGACTGCTAACCAGAAACCTGGCAGTTCAAACTCACCAGCCATTCCTCAGAAGGAAGATTGGACAATCTACTTCCATAGAGATACCATCTCAGAAACCCAAGGAAGGGTCACTATGAGTCCAACCGACTGGACAGCTGTGAGTTTTTTTTTTTTTGCGGGGGTAGGTCACCTACAGTTTATTTAGGTTTCCAAGTCTCAGTTGGGGAGGCTAATTTAAAAGGCTCAAGGGTAGCTACGTGACAACATGTCACAATCACTTTCCAATTCTTGGAAAACGTCTTGGACTTCTCACAGGACGCAGGGTCACCTTCGTTGCCCCGACTGGCAAAGTTTAAGCACGCTCAAACCAGCTGAGGGCTGCACGCCCCGTCCCGCCTCCGGCCTTAAAGCACTGCACTCTGGGAGTTGTAGTCCCGGTTGGCCGCGTCCGTTAGGGCGTAAGGGCCTGGTAGTCCATCCCGCCCTTTTCACTCCAGGAGGTCACGTTCTCTCCCTGCTACTACCTTTCATTCTTTCGGGCGGAACCTTCAGCGAGCACGGCTGAATTTGTCTGTGCCACAGTCTTTCTGCTGGGTTTCAATAAAGTTTTCCTCTTCTTCCACTTGTACGGATCTCAAGATGGCGATCTCCTGGTCTCTCTTGCTTATTCTGCGGTCCTTAGTGCAGAAGCAGCAGAGCGGGAGATGTGTTGGGTACCGGCACTGGGTCGCCGCTCTTGCCCCTCCGCCCGCCGTCCCTGGGAGGCCCCTTTGGAAAGGTCAGTGACTGTACCACGAGGAGACTGAGCCTACTTGCCTGTGTATGCATATGACCCAGACCGGTTCTAGGGGTCATCCCTTCCATCCCCCATCATCCCTTGCTGCTTCACGGTTTTTGGGAGCTGAGGGCCCCTGCAGAGGAATTTCACCCTCTCTAGCCCTTCTACAGGAGCTCTGGTAGCATAGTGCCTAAGGCACTTGACTGCTAAACTGGAGGCTGGCGGTTCAAACCCAACAGCCACTCCTCGGAAAGAAGATGGGGCAATCTACTTCCGTAATGATACTGCCTCGGAAACCCAAGAAGGGGTGGCTATGAGTCGGGTACGACTCCACGGCAAACAACAACAGCCCTTCTACACGACTTGTCTGAGGAGGAACCCTGAGCACTGCCGAAGCTGGCCCGAGTGACTTTAATTTTGAGGGTCAGAGCTCGAACCAAAGTTTTGTTCCCTGCTAGTGCTGAGGTACGGTGAGCCCAGGTGTGGGATTGCCTGCCTTGAGGGGATGCAGAGTAGGGCTGGGGCTGGGGCTGGGAGCCCTTTTACCCATTTGCCTTCCCGGGCTCTCCGAGCTGGTGATCACGTGCTGGCCCGAGAGCCGCGCCTCGGACCCTTGCAGGCCCTGCTGACTTTGGCTCTGGGAACAAAGTCTCCAAGCATCTCAGATTGAGGAATGGACTCTCGGTGTTCTTTTCAAACTAATAGAGGCTGAATTGAGTATGTTTTGTCGCCGGGCTTGCTTCATTCATTCAATTGTTGATATGTATTCATGAATGAATGAATACATTTCTTAAGCAACACGACCCACAGGAGTGCAAATTTTACTACTTTATTTGTATACTCCCACTAAATTGAGAGCTCCTCAAAGGCAAAAACCTTTAGTGTCATTATTTCCCCAACACTTAGCACAATGGCTGGTACCTGTTTTTTTGAATGAAGTTAAGATTGTCTTATCATTTCATTGTCTCATTTCCAAGTACCTTACCTTGTATACCTTAATAAAGTTTTACATACTTTAATAACTTGACTGTTAATAGCTAATTTAGCCAAAAATGTGGTAGTCTTTGACAGTTATCAATGCAGTTGAAACTAGTACTACAACTAGGATTAGGTTATGTTAGTTTTCTGCAAAGTTCAGCACCATCTATTTAATATATAATGGATTTTGGTAACATAAGCAGTGGCTCCTAATACACATTTTATTTATTTATTTATTTAAAAATGCATTTTATTGAAATATAATTTATGTACAG